ACCTTTAAACTCAATCTAAATAAATACTAACCTTATCGACCTCCCACCATGCAGGATAAAGTTTAGCTTGTCCATTGCCCAAATCAAATGATTCATCTCGTGCATTCTTCAAGTGAACGGCGTGAAAAGACGTCGGCATTATTGTATATCGTATATTTTATTTTTCTTAAGTTTTCTTATTATTAGAAGACGTGTCACCCACGCATCGATATGCTGTTTTACAAAAAAAGACATATATTAGTGACTTACATAAATTTAAAAAAAAATTAATCAAATTGAAATATAAGAAAAATATAAGACTTACCCCCCCATCGAAATAGCCATTGTCTTCGACCCCTAATAATACGCCCCACCAAGGCCGTTCAAGCAACAAAAAGATATCATCGGTGAGCTTGCATATGTCAGTGAAACACCCCTTGCTCTGCTCATGTAGATAAAAATCAACTGCGGTCTTAGCCCAAAGGGTGTTATCCAAAATTGTGTCCGGTAGTTGTTCCCTCTCCTCTTCAGATACCGGTATGGTACTGGCCGGTAACTCATACGAGAGCCAACTTGAATCCATCATGTCCGGCACGTCAGAGGGTTTCTCAAGAAGCCTACATATGACGCCATGTGAATCGGGCTCTTGAATGGTGGGAGGGACCTCTTCAATGATGACAGTGGCCTCTTGAACGGTGGGAGGGGACTCTCGAGGAATGATATGGGGGCCTCTTCAACGATAGGAGTGGACTCTTGAGGGATGACAGGCGAGTCGGGCTTCTTCTTGCGGTGTCTTCGCACTATTGGGGTGTACGGAGACTTAATAGCACGTGCACGCTGTCTGATGCGTGAACTCCGTCGTGCAAGCATAACCCGACGTAAAGCATCCACTCTATCGGGCCGCTAAATAATTAAATACAAAAATCAGTAAATAAACAGACATGATATTTAAACAGTGAAAACAAAGACAAATATGTTTCAAACTTGCATTGTATTCACCCAAGTCATTATTCTATCATAGTTCACAAAATGCATCAGATAACAAAGAAAATATGTTTCAAACTAATACCCTGAAGTTAGTATTTGTCTTTGTTTTGTCTATTGGTTGAAGTAATGCAATCCATTCAAGTTTCAATTTGCAGAAGAAGAAATAGTTTACTTTCGCAACACGAAACTTAAAATCGCAACGCGAAACCAAAATCGCAACGCGAAATTAAAATCGCAACGACAGAATCGCAATGCGAAATGAAAATCGCAACGAAAGAATCGCAACGCGAAATGAAAATCGCAATGCGATTTTGGTTTCGCGTTGCGATCTTGTCGTTGCGATTTTGGTTTCGCGTTGCGATTCTGTCGTTGCGATTTTCATTTCGCGTTGCGATTTTGGTTTCGCGTTGCGATTTTAAGTTTCGTGTTGCGAAAGTAAACTATTTCTTCTTCTGCAATTGAAACTTGAATGGATAAATTTACTTTCAACCAAAAGACAAAACAAAGACAAATACTATTTCACAGTGTTAAAGAATACACAGTTTAGCAGAATTGGCAGCAACCGAACAAATTTACTTTCAACCAAAAGACAAAACAAAGACAAATACTATTTCACAGTGTTAAAGATACACAGTTTAGCAGAATTGGCAGCAACCGAACAAATTTACTTTCAACCAAAAGACAAAACAAAGACAAATACTATTTCACAGTGTTAAAGAATACACAGTTTAGCAGAATTGGCAGCAACCGAACAAATTTACTTTCAACCAAAAGACAAAACAAAGACAAATATATTTCACAGTGTTAAAGAATACACAGTTTAGCAGAATTGGCAGCAACCGAACAAATTACTTTCAACCAAAAGACAAAACAAAGACAAATATATTTCACAGTGTTAAAGAATACACAGTTTAGCAGAATTGGCAGCAACCGAACAAATTTACTTTCAACCAAAAGACAAAACAAAGACAAATACTATTTCACAGTGTTAAAGAATACACAGTTTAGCAGAATTGGCAGCAACCGAATAAATTTACTAAGCAATCTAAGTGAAATGGCTAATCTAAGTGAAATTACGAGTAAATTTATCATTAAGTTAAATATGGAAAATCTTAAACTTACCTCGTTGCGTAGAGTATGAACCTCATTCTGCAACGATACTATCATCTCACGTAGAGCGGCAACCTCACCACGTAAAGTTGACACCTCCACACGCCATGCACCATCGTTATCGCGTAGAGTACCGATCTCCTCACGCAAGGCATTGACCTCATCACGTAACTCCCTTGACTCATCCCGTTGAGGTGGAGGTGGAGAACAGGGAGATAGGAGTCGTGGCATCTTTGCCGGTCGCCTATCATGAGGTGATGGTGGAGAAGAGGCTCGATGATGTGACGGGATAGGTGATGGCTCTCGTTCTAGAGGTGTATAGTCGGGTCGATCGGGTGATGGCTCTAGGTGAGGTGATGGCTCTCGAATTGGAGGAAGTGGATGCTGCTCATCATCCGTGCCATCAAAAAAATTCTGACTAGCTTGCCACCAATCAGTGGCAAGCTCTTCCTCCGTGGGTGTCAGTCTTTGTAATGGAATGTTGGCCTCCTAAAATATAAAAACTCAAACAAAGTTAAACGTCTACTATTAATAACTTGTTTATATTATATGAAAGTATGTGTGTTAACTTACATTATTTATTGTGGCATATGGTATTAAGTCTTCCCAATCCAACAGAGTTTTCCTCTTCCAGGAAATAGCCCTGGGAATATCATTTGACGTTTTTATTGCATATGTACGCATGCTGGGGAAAGCCTCGAATATCCAAATCTACAAACAATATAATAACAAAATTAGTAATTGTTAAATAATTAATTATAATTTTAGAAACATTATATAGAAATTCTTACCTTAAAGGCCCAAACAAAGCCTGACAAAGTGTATTTGGACCCATCGCCCCGCAAACTTTTGCGGTCATCAAAGGCAGACGACAACTTAGTCCAGGTAGCTTTCCATATATACGAACCCCACGGAAACAGATTCCATGCATTCAGGTCCTCTACCAATATTATTAGCTCCCGATGAATAGGTTGTCTGGCCTCTCTGCCTAAAAAGCCGGCATACACAAGTAGTAGAAGGCATACTCGGACAACATCGACGTCTTCCATCCGAGTGAAACCAGCTTTCTTATTAAATAATTTCTTCAGGTCGTCGACATGTAGGTTCGGCTTCTCCATTGACTCATCCGGAAAAACCCGGGATAACCATGATGGGCGGGCGATATGACGAGTGTACCGGCCTACATCATCGTGTCCGAATCGTAGACCAGTGATTAAGCAGAACTCCTTCCGCCCAAAGCAAGTATACGCTGGTGGAAAATGAAACCATATCTCTTCCTCACCACGTTGTATACTGTCGGGTAGATTTGATGTCATGGTCTGAAGCCACAAATGGGTCAAATTAGCATCTACACCCGGATGCTGTACTCTCAGCCATGGCCCGAAGCAGGTTTCCTCAAACAATTGTCTTTGAGCAGGTGAAAGCTTCTTTGCAATTGTAGTGGCCAGGCTGACTTTATTTCTCAAGGTCAATTGAGCCGAAAAAAATTTCTACAAAAACAATAAACATACCAAGTTAGATATACCAAAAACTACACTGTGAAGATATACCAAAAACAATAAACATAAAAAGTAGTAGTTATTCTTGAAACTAAAATTTGCAACACTGTTTTGTCTTTTGGTTGAAATGAAAATCGCAACGAGAGAATCGCAACGCGAGATGACAATCGCAACGCGAGATGGTTTCGCGTTGCGATTCTCTCGTTGCGATTTTCATTTCGCGTTGCGATTCTCTCGTTGCGACAGTCATTCTCTCGTTGCGATTTTCATTTATCTCGTTGCGACTCTTCTGCAAATTGAAACTTGAATGGATTGCATTACTTCAACCAAAAGACAGAACAAAGACAAAGACAAATACTAACTTGAAAATCGCAACGAGAGAATAGCAACGCGAAATGAAAATCGCAACGACAGAATCGTAACGCGAAATGAAATCTAAGTGAAATGGTTAATCTATTATTGAAATGACCAGTAAACTTATCATCAGTTTCAATATGAAAAACCTACAATAATGCAAACATTTCAAAATAAAAATAATTAAAAAAACTAACCCTCGGAGGTTGATTTTCCATTTCTGAATATTGTGAGGGATTTCTGACCGTGAATGGTTGTGAGGGATTTCGCCGGAGATGGGGACGGAAATCTTCGGAGATGGGGACGGATTTCTTCGCCGTAGAGAGTGAGAGATGGAGATGGGACTGAGTTGTGATTTTAGGTTTTAGGTTATGAGTTGCGATTACGGGATTTTGTCTTAATATTCTTTTTGTAATTTGAAAATAAAATACGCGTAGCGATTATAATGGCGCTTTAAATATCGCGTTGCGATTTACGGATACGCGTTGCGATTTTATGTATTATCGTTGCGATTTACGGATACGCGTTGCGATATACGGATACGCATTGCGATTTACCCATACGCGTTGCGATTTACGGATACACGTTGCGATTTACGGATACGCGTTGCGATTTATGTGTTCGCGTTGCGATTTTCATATTCGCGTTGCGATTATGGAAAATCGCAATGCGAATTTCTACTATCGCATCGCGATTTTCAAGAATCGCGTTGCGATTTTGGAAACTGATTTGCGATTCTGGAAACTGATTTGTGATTCTGGGGATCGCGTTGCGATTTTTATTTCGCGTTGCGATTTTGTTGGTCATTTTGGCAAATCCAAAAAAAGTTGGTTAAAATCGTATATTATAACTTTTTTTTGGTCACTGAGACGATTTTCTCTTGAATTTTTAATTCATTTTCATTTTTGTCTCTGTCGTTACCTACCGTTAGTTGTTGCTGATGTGGCAGTTAACTCTGTTAACTCTCTGACGTGGCACCAGCAGCTTCTTCTTCTTCTCTTCTTCTTTTTCTTCCGACTTAAGCCAAATAAAACCTAGAAATAAAAAAATAAAATTTCTTCTTCTTCCAACTCAAACCAAACAAAACCCATTAATGAGAGACGGATCTTTAATGGTCTCACCCTTTACATTTAGAGCGTTCATGGAATTTAGTCTTTTCCTAATGGATGCACAGGTATAAAAAAATCTTGAGTTACGATCTCCATCTTTCACCCATTTTGCTCTCAATTTTTGAAACCAAATTTGCTCCTCGATTTTATATAGTCTCCATAATTCCTTCCTCAAAGAAACCAATGTTGTGACATTTCCACTCGAATCAGGATTCTGCTGTAAATCCTTTTCTAGGTTGTGTATTCTTCCTTCTACGTCAGAGATCGAAGCACCTGGAAACTGATTCCTAGTTCCAGACCAGTTTGCTTTGTTGTAAAATTGCATTTTCTGTAAACAATAATGTTGTTTCCTTGTAGTATATGTTGTCTAGGGAACCTTTTGGGACTTGGATAGTTGCATGTAGAAGGCAAAACTGTTGACATATTAAAATTGAACTAAAACAATTTCCAAAATCTGAATTCTCGAGCCTTTAAAAGAACTGGGATTTTATCGGTATGATTTCAACAAGAATTGCTTGGTTTATCTTCTCTTGGAATGGCGCAAAAGACAAAACTGATACGATTGAGGGAGTGGGATGACTGTTACAGACGAGTGTTACCTAATTCGTGATTTGCTTTGGTTCGCAGAATGAGTACGGGATAATAATTTGTTAATTTTACCGTTTGTGGTTCATTGGGGGTAGAATTCTTTAAAACGGATTTTGGTATCATAAGGGTCCGTTTGGTTGGGGAAAACATTTTACGGAAAATGAAATCTGAAAAATGAATTACATTTCTGTAAAATATTTTTCAGAAAATATTTTTCAGTGTTTGGATGGTATATTATAAAATGTTTTACAATGTTTGGTTAATTTTTTTGAAAACAGTTTCCATAATCTGTTTTTAATAAAGAAGCATACATATTCGATATGTTTTTATTCTTTATTATTTTTAAAGGTTCATTTTTTTATATATAATTATATTTTATAAAAATCTGTATTTTTATAAGTACGAAAAACTAAATTTTTAGATAATATTAATAATTTATGTTGATTGTGTTATAAATACACTATTTTAGGTTTAAAATCTTCATGATGCTTATTCATTCGTATTTTTAGAAATGAATTTCAACGTATAATTAATATTATGTAGGTTTATTTGATATAATATTAATAATTTATTAAAAATATATTATAAAAGTTTATAAATATTATGTAGGTTTAATTAATAGTACACCACATTAAAACAACAATGGTACATAACTTCTCAAAAATATTATAAGAATTATTTCATAATATAACAAAATTTCTCAAAAACAACAAATAAATGTCTTAAAAGAACAAAAAATGTACTGAACATTTCATTAACCAAATCATCACATTCAAGATCCAACATCACAACACAGGATCTATATTTTGCAAGAGTCTCCAAAATTACAACTCTCCTTCCAAATGATGGACCACTAGTATCGCTCAATCCATTGAAAGTTCCAACAATCAAGCTAAAAATATCCTGAAAGCATGCCACAAATCAATCACCAGAAGTTCAATTGAAAATTTATTACTTTCTAAGAAAATTAAGACCAAAAACAATAAACCTTAATGAAAGAAAAAGCACCTTTAGAATATCATCACTATAAGGCGCATCAGACGCAATTATCCGAGTTATCTCACAAATACAGGTTGCAACTCGAAGTTTGGCTTCCCGATCTTGATGATTCAGCAGTTCTTGCTTGAATATTGCATTAAGAAGAGGCTGCATTGATTCCACTATTGATGATGGTGGAGACTGGTCAATCTCAGAGAGACATGTAGCAGCTTGCTGCGGATTAGACGGAAAACATTCATGATATATGTCAAATAACCAAATTAAAAGACTGCAGCTGATTTTGATACACAATATATATATGAATTCACAAGTTCAATCATCCAACAAGATGTACAAGATTCATGAAGTAATACATATTACCACAGACCCGACTGTCCAAGCACATAGGTCTGATGCTAGATGTGTGTAAGTAAAATGATAAAGAACATGTGAAATAGACAAGAATAAAAGAAAATATAGGAAAACATCTTTACTACCATTAAGAATTATCAACCAATGCATGGGTCGTATCATGCCTTTAAAATAGTTTGGAAAAATAAAATGCACAATCAGTGATTCAAAAAAACTTAAAAGATAAAAATATCTAAGCTTTTCACTAAACCACCAATAAATTTGAGTCCATAAAATAAAAGAACTACCATCTTTCATGAATAACAAGATATCTCTTCATGTCATAACAAGTTCACCATTAGAGATTCCAAGCACCATGTGAGACCAAAATAAAACCAATCCATATTCGAAAAAATCTCTTTGGTCTATGTTTGGATAAGACAAGAATTCTTTAAATAGCTAGTTGCTATTGATTGAGTAAATTTCAGTTTTACAAAATCCAACATAAATTGAATTCCACGGTTGGAAAGATAAAATTCAAAATTCAGATTTCAAAACAGAAAATGCATACATTATGTGTAAATTGCATAGATCCAACATGATTGCCATAAATTTCAGTTTTACAAATATCAATCCTATTTCTGAAATCCAAATCTACTGTTTGAAATTCAAGCTCCCAAAACCTAAAGAAATCGGGAAATTCTTACATCGTTTAAGAGTAACCCAAACAGAGCCGGTCTTAGTGCTTCGCTCAAACATGCTCGTAAGTTCATTAAGAAAAGGGTCTGGCTGTAGAAGAACCTTAACGAAAAACAAAAAAAATCAGCATAAATCATATCAATAAGATCAAATGCCCAAGAAATAAAAACGAACATAAATTCTTCAATTTGTTGAATTCAAAGAGAGAGACGAAAGCCCATATAAATAAACGAAAAAGGATTAGAAGGGATGTTGAATTACCATGACTAGGAGAAACTTTGTGAATTATGGGAACAACCCTAATTCAACCAATTAGGAACAAACTTTAGCTAAGCAATCTAAAGTTCAGTGGAGAAGTAATAAAGTTGAAGAATGATTGCCTTTAACAGCTTGAGAATGGCGTCCTTCGCAGATAAAGGAGATTCCAACTTGGATCCCAGCTCCTTGAGCTGCTCTTCCAGCTTCTCCGCCAATGAGTCGTGGACTCGATAAGATGAGAGATAGAAAACAAAGAGGGAAAAAGGGGAAGAAGGCCACTGGATCGATCTAAATTTGGTGCGGAGCGAGGGAAATAAAAGGAAGGAAATGACTTACCCTTTTCCAGACGGTAAGTCATTTTACGAGAGAAATGAAGGAGTTTTACGTTGACCGTAAAACTAAATCCATTGACTTTCTTATTTTAAGGGAACCAAACACATGAAAATGGTCCCCAACCAAACACACCCTAGTGATGGTTTTTTTTTGGGTTCGTTGATCATTTTTTTTAATAATTTGTCTATAGGTTAAACAATGAAAATATAATTTTTTTAATGATTCTTTAGTTATTATAAAATTGAAGGACTAAATTTATAATTAAACCGATTATCTTAAAATGTAAAATTACAATAATAAAAAGAGTTGATCTTTACTTCAGTTTTGTGAGATATTAATTTTACTTTTCTCTGTCTCTTCTCTCACTTCCACGCTTCCCGGTTGCGATATTTCATTATAGTAAAGCTTTCTTTTACTGTTTCTTAGAATATATTATTGCTGCGTGATTGGTTTTGAAACAGATGGTCGGGAAGCATGCAACATTCTTCATGCATGAAAACATGCATCTAGTGCAAGGTTGAGTACTTTTTTTATCTTTTCCATCGTAATAACCTTATGAAAAGAGATGTATGTAAATATTATAAGGAAGAAGAAAGGTGAGAACTGAGGAGAAGAAAGAACATAGGTTCTGTTCGAAAATTGCTTTCTGAAAAAGTAAATTCAGCCTGTTTTAATAGGCTGAGAATTACAGATGTAAAGAACTACTAGGTATTTTTTCCTAACCTTTATCTCCTAAAAATGCTCATTTTATCTTCTAAGAAGATAAACACTAATCATTAAGTACAAGTAGATTATCATTAGAGCATAAAATAATAAAACTCCTTATCTTGACAGCTTTTCTAGTTTGGCGGCTTTCCACAATGTAATTTAAACTGGGGCAGATTTTATGTGCATTTACCTTACTCCAAAATATTCTGGCAACACGTGCATGATTACAGACAGATTAAAACTAGAAACAATTGTTTTGATAGGATTTAACTCTTCTTTAAGTCTCATATCCTTAAGTTTGAATTCAAAATAAGAAATGAGTTTGTCTTGTTCCTAAAATGTGCGTGTATCGGTGTATGTAGAGACCCAAACATGCAAATACAGGTGAGTGTTCAATCGAGTCGAGTAAAAAAATTCTAGTTATTTGAGTTGACGAGTCCTATTTTATAACTCGAATTTGACTTGAATTTTTTTCTAGTCGAGTTTATAAAAATTCGAGTCGAATTTTTGAGTTTTTGTTTAAATTTAATTGTAAATATTTTATAATATTATGATTATTTGATTTTAATTTAAATGGTTTTTATAACCATATATAATACATATATATTTTTTCATATTTTTTTCATATGTGATACACATATATCATACAGAGTCGAGGTACTCGACTAAAACTTGAAAATCAATCCACTAATTACTAAAAATTTCGAGTTGCTATTCAAGTTATTCGAGTTGTATTTTATAACTCCATTTGAACTTGAAACTTTTTCAGGTCGAGTCGAGTTTATGAAATTACAACTCGAAATCAATTCAAGTTAACTCGAAAAAATCAGTTTTACGAGTTAAGTCGAGTTTTGCTCACCCCTATATGCATATGCTTGTATTCTAAGATGATAATATTATGTTGTTCTCAAATAACTTTTTCGAATTGTATTCTAAGAAGATAGAATGGGTTATGTGGCTCATGTTTTGGTTGGTGGAAATTTACTTAAAGAAAATCTACTTTTTATGTGGCGTCTTCCGGCACAATTTTCCTTTGAGGTTAGAAGAAAACCCATCATCATCTTCTTGTACATGAAGGGAGAACTATATGATTCATCTCAATTTTGATCCTGTGTTTAAAATTAGAACTTAGCTCTATTCTTTATACGCTTTTCTGTGAATCTTGATCATCTGAGGTTGTGATTACTAGCATCAATATAGAAGGCAATCTTCTTCTCATTGGCAGTCATCAGAAAGATAAGGCGGGTCTGCTGAATGTGAGCAGCTCGACTCTATTTTTAAGTTACTGGCTCATTTAAAATCTGATGCATTGTTTTTTTTAATATAAGGCAATCTTCATGAACTCATGGGCACACATTATGTACATGAAATTTCTGCTTGTTGTTTGTGTTATATTTTGCTATAGATAAATTTTTGCGCTTAAATGACTGCATCTTGAATTCTTAATGTTGGGGTGTCTTCCCAATTGAGTTGAAGATTCAAAGGAGGGACTGAATGTTTTGTCCTGTTGATGATGGGGTAAAACTCTAAAAGTAGAAAGGTATATGTTTCTGATATTTTCATGAAATAAGGAAGCATACAATGGGTTTTAGGGTTAGCATCCTCTCATGACATGTGTTGCTATAAAGGTGTTAATTGTGGGTTCATTGTGCTAAAACGATAGGTGATATCAGTATAAGACCGTTAGTTAGTTACAATGACTGAAGTAGGTATTCAAAATTTCACATGCATACTTTATACAAAGCAGGAAAGACCTCCACTTTAACCTGAATATCTGCCTCACGCCCACACCATACTTGTAACCCCAGACCGATGCGGGTAGCCCGATCTGATCCGAGAAGTCACATTAGGGCCACCGGAGCGACCCATTGTAAAAATAGCGGAAAATTTAAAACTTTTATTGAAACGTGTAACTTATAAAATTAGTTTTCACTATGTAAAAATAAAACATATTTCCAAATTCGTATATAAATCAAAATACAATTACATGCCCCCTAATCACATGTACCCTACTCTGCAAAAACGCCGGACGAACTCCCTTACTGAAGTCGATAGATGCACTGGTACAATTCTTTCAACCTGAAAAGGTGAGTAATAGAGTGAGCTTTGGAAAGCTCAGTAATACAGAACTACCAGATGATGCTGATGAACGTGCAGATACAGATAAATATTTATTTCCTTATTGCTTCTGAGCATTTACATATTTTTATGCTGAGCAGAGATTCTACTGATATTTCGGGTGGTAACGGACAATGAGCTTTCAGTTCAGAGAAATATTTCGGATGACTGAGTTGAGGAGATCAGAATAGGTTTTCTAGTGTGTTCTCGAAAAATTCAGTAAAAAGATACAGATCTTTTAAAACATATATATATATATATATATATACCCCCATCCGTTCACATCATAAATGTGTAGGTTCCCCAGAACCATACACCCAACCGCACATGCCATTTAGACCTGAGCACAAAGCCGAGGAGTCTGCAGATAATCTTCCTCCAACAATAAACCCCCAGATAAAACATTTATCCGTCGGTAAACGGAGATATCAGAAATCAAAACATAATTCAGATCAGATATCAGAACAGAATCCAGGTTAGGAATCAGAACAGATTTCAGATCAGATGTCAAAAAAGAATTCAAATCAGAAATCAGATAAAATATTCATATAAGTAGGGAACACACCAGAGTTTACAAATATTATTCAAAGGTACTGGATAATCTTAGCAAGTAGAGAAATATGGATCTTCAGTATACCGATAGAATGTCGGAATTTAGAATCACTATTGTAAAAAGTTCAATAACTGACGGAATCATCAGTTATTCAGAATGTAAATTATCAGGATCATATCTTATTCGGACAATTTTCAGAAGTTGTATGTAATCAGAAGGGTATTCAGAATCCTTTGCATCCATGTCAATTGATCGGATAATCGAACAACTTGAGAACGAAGATTCAGAACCTTAACAATCTATGTCGACTGGTCAATTCATTTTCCTTCCAGGGTATTTACCCTTTAATACCACAAATTCTTGTTCATATTTCATTTTCGAAATTAACGTTGAATAAATCTTCTAATGTCTTTATTTCATGTTCACGTTTTCACCATATCATGAAATACTGACGTACTTGTGGTTACTTAATTTATTTAGCATTCAAGTCCATTCCAGATACTTCGGGATTTTCCAGAGTAATTCAAGCGTTCCTGATTTTTCAGACACATGCTGCACTTCCGTTACATTCAATTTGGTCTTTGTGGCTGATTTGTCGTGCAAACGTCCAATTCTTAGTACTGAATGCGATCCAGAGTTGAACTAAGTTGAATACTTCTAAAATTTATCATCGAGTCAAACTTAAGAAGACGAACACGCATTCCAGTAATATCTATGTCATTCAGGTATTGACATAGCTTTAGGGTTGATCTACTCACTTAAATTGTGTTCCATTACTTTTAAAGGTAGGCCAATACCTATGCTTATTTGGATTCTTTAATTAATCCAAGACATTTACTTACTTTAGGCCATAAGGGTATTTTGGTAATTTTGATGTTCAGTTTTATTCCATTCATTTCAGAGCTCGAGGATATCCAATCATTCCTTAGCTTGGTGACATTCTTGAGTCATTTCCATTACAGGGGTATTTTGGTCATTTTACAGATCCACAGTATTTCAATCTTTTTCCTCCATTCGGTCTTATTATTTAATTCCAATTTATATCTTTTACTTTAGTCCTTTCGAACAATTCTGACAGCAAAATACCCCATTAAATTATTCTTCAAGTATTTACTCATTATTCGAATATTTTCGAGTCAAGTGTCTTCTCAAATTTTACAAACGGAATATCATGAATTTTCCTGCTAAATCATGATCTTAACAATCAAATCTGTACTTAATCGACTTAAGTACGAATCCTCTAAGTATTTTCTCATTCAGGGTTAACTCAGACTATTCGATCTCTTAAGGGTATTTCTGTAATTTCTTAACCAGATAATTTCGATATTAGCTTTTAACGAAAATAATATAATTTAGAGATCCTATGATTAATTGCTTTCCCGAACCTTCTCTGATCTTGAAGTGATTCCTTAACAGACTTATAGTATCTTGCATAAACCTCTTGGTGTTAAAAACCGGTTATCCATAATTTCCAAGTAATACTAACATTTCCTTATGCACATGAATAGTTTTAGCAGATCAATAATTCTTTTCAGATTTATTAATCTACTTCCAGAGACAATTCTTGTCATTTTCCACCATAAGGGTAATTTCGTAATTTTACCTAATCGAAATATTCTCATAATTTATCATCTAAGTACCTTTAATGAGATAAATTATAATCTACAATCCATGATTGATTCTTTTATCACTTAATTTCAGAACTTGTAATTTAATTCCAACTGTCCTCCAATTTCTTATAATAGTCATCTGAGCCATATTCAGTTATCTATTTTCTACCGTATTCATATCTAGTGTAGATCTTCATTTATTACACATATAAGACCAAATATTTCCATTCATGCATTTACCAATACCAACATGTTCTATAAAGCATAAAGAGGTAGTAAAATATTACCTCGATTTCCGTGCAATACTGATCGACCATAAAAATTCCATTCGAACGCCTTTGATCTTCAATTCAACTTCCAATAATTCCTCAGATACATATCAACATAAATTATATCAGAAACGGAGCTTAATTACGATAAACGGATCGAATCGGGTGATAAATCAGTGAAAGATGGCTTACCGAGTTCGAATTTGGCGAAACGGACTTCGGATTCAGGACGTCGAAAGCATAAAATATGACTTTTCGGAAATTTGGAATTTTCGGTCAAAATCAAAGTAAATGGGTTTGACCGGTAATTTTGAGGCCTTCGGGTTCGAATTTCGAAAAACGGACAGCGGAATCAGATTTGGAACGTCGAAAAATGTCAGGATAGGTATACTCGGTCGAAGTCAAAGGTCGTTTAATGCCCGATCAAAGCCGGTCAAAGTTTTGGTCAACAGTGGTCAACTCCGGTCAACGGTCAACGGGTCGGGTAAACGGGTCGGGTCGGGTCAACGGGTCGGGTCGGGTTGTGACAGGTCAAACTGGTCAACTATTCACTAAAACCGGTCAAACCGGTCATTTAGACTATCCCCACTCGCAGTGGCGGCGCGTGGGGGCGCGTGGGCACTGTTCCGGCAACGTAAAATTCACAGAAAAATTTTTAAAAATTATTTTGAGCGATTTCGAGATACTTACAAAGCTCGGTTCACAATTTTGAACGGCGGAGAGCTCGATTTTGAAACGTCGGAAACTTTGACCGCTTCACCTCCACACGCGCTGCCGCCGCCGGAGAAAAAGGAGAACACCGGTGGACTCGGAACGGCACAAGGAACATGATGGTGCGGGAGGTGTCGTAAACGGATCATCGGATCGTCGTGAATCGATGAAAAACCAACTAAAACGAGTTATTACCGACGATACTTCCGACCGAAATTCACGACGAACGGCGATGATTCACGACGAAATGTTTGAGGGGTTTTGTTCCTCGATTGACAACGAACACGATGGTAGTTTCGGCTCATCGATCGGAGGTCGGACGGCGAGTAGATCGGAGTTCAAAGAGGGGTTGACGAGAGAGGGAAACTGGAAAAATTTCCAGAAACTGAGCACGGGTGGGGGATTATATTTCAACATATATAAAAAATGGTTAAATCATGGGTTTAGCCACTGAATTTCCTGTACTTCTTAAAACGGTCTGCCAATTTTAAAATCTTACAATTTAATCCCCCGTTTCTTTCAAAAATACCAATTAAATCCACCACTTTATAATTTCTTAAATTTAGCCCCTAAATTAGGGTGTTACAATACTGGTATGTTGCAGAGGATGTCCACTTTCCCAGAGGTAGATAAAAAATTTCCAATATCGACTGACATGTAAAAGATCATTTCTTTTCATCTAAATCACATTGGTTTTGGTGGACCGCCCTCTAGCTATTATTATACTTAAATGAGTGACGTTGGAGAGTAAGGGATAAAGTACCTCATTCATAAAATTTGTACGACTTAGACAGCGGAATTGATTTAACTTCACAGGTACATGACTGCCTGTGCAAAAAACTTAATGTACTCTCTCCTTTTGAGGAGGGGCAGGGGGGATAAACTGTTGTACTAAATGAAAGTGATTTCGCTTTTATTTTTCTTCTCTTTGTGCTAGATGAAATTATGAATTTAAAATTTAACTGGTTGATTTTTTGTTTCTGATTCTTTGACACACGCTTTAATTTTTATTTTATATGTATTTGTACTTTATTTTATATGGTTTGTACTAATGTTTGAATCCAATATGATTTACCGATTCACAAGTATCTGCAAAATGGGTAATAAGAAGTAATATTTTCTTTTCTTCTTCCCATTTTTAAGCATTTTTTCGTGGTTAAACTGATATACCCTTTTATTTGCCAACTTTATCTTATTGATAATTGGTCAAGCTTGTTGACAAGCTTTTCTATGTTTATTATGGTACTGATTTGACAGGAGGAAGCTCCTGAGCAGTTTAAGATTGTAATACCAAGAATTCCTGCATATTTTACGGTATGCAAAATTTTCTCGCGATCACTTGTTGCATATTGAAACATGAACCTTTTTATTATGATGATTGGGCCTTGATGCTATTCATCTCGGTTTTTGCATAATGTTCTTTTATGGATTTTGTTTGTCTGGGGATTGTTTAGAAAGCCTAGCTATTGCTGAGATTTGGAACTGTAGCTTGGCCTTAGAATCAATGCTTTTCTGATACCTTTCTTTTAACAAACTTTTACCCAGTTATGAATAAGGAGGGCAGAACTTACTTTTACTTTGATACCCAAAGTTTTGTTAAAAGCTAAAAAAGACAAACCAAACCAACACTTTCAGATGGAAGTAAAAACATTCAATTAAATCAACTAGCTTGTTTCTTAACGCGCAATTCCAATGCAAACTAAAACATTTGGAGGGAGGTGCTACTAGCTCTCCTTTTGTATAACATGGACACTCAATGGTCTTCGGCCTACATAAAAAATACTTCTTACCCATCCTATTAATCCTGCACCTTTACCATGAGGTGAAGCTTAAGAGCTTTAGGTTTAAGCCTTGAAATCACACATCTTTGAGCTGCTTGAGGGAAAAGTCGAGCTATTTGTTGTGCATGGAAAGCATAAACAGGTATTCTTTTTTTTCCCTGTTTTGATGAAGCTGGCATTTGAAAGATTCAAGGTAGTGTCTATTCAAGCTTTAGTTTGATTTTTGGGGTTGAAATGAACAGAAGATTTTGGGTTTGTAATTAGAGGTGCTTTCAGGATTAGTAATTGAAGCTGCATTATGTTTAACACAACTCTATAAATATTATAGAATACATTGCCCGTTGAACTAGCAAGACTTGTTTGTTGTTGAAGAACCCATGCAGTATCAAATTATTAATGCAGTATCAGATAAATGAGTATAGAAAGGCTTTTTAATGCTAGATTTTGTTGAATATATTTATAGCTTTGCTTATTGACTATGAAAAGATTGTTGCATAAGTAAGGGAAAGTATATCAAATTTGGGTATTTGATTGAATTTATCAGTATTGTTAAGGGTTCTAGGTACACTCTGGGTGCTAGAATGCTTATACTGCCTAAGGTGCAAAGTGCATAAAAAGCGTTTGCTTGAGTGAAGGTGCAACTTTTTTGTATGTATGATTGCATGTGTTATCTTTTACTGTTTGCACTTCATTCTACGTCTACCTACTATGCAACATTGGAAACTATGTCGATGAACAACCATATTTGTAGGGAACAGGAGATCTAATGACCGCACTTCTACTTGGGTGGAGTAATGTAATTTTATTGTTTTTGCTCCTGCCTTAAGCTGGTATATAAACATTTAATTTCTCAGATATCCTGTTTGTTCTGCTCAGAAATATCCCGACAACCTTGATAAGGCAGCGGAGCTTGCAGTATCCAGTTTGCAGGTATTTATGTTTTAATCTTTTCTCTTGTATCTATGTTCCGAGTAACATAATGCACTTCTAGAGTGATTTAGTCTGGAGAATTAACTGAAAGAAGGCTGTCAAGTGATATTTGTTCTTAGAATTAACTGAAATATCGTTTCTCTTGTATCTATGTCAACTGATAATGCATTTCACTTTTTTTTTAATAGAATTATCCCTCTCCTAGAGTCATTTTTAGGTATCTTAGGATTCAGTTTATCAACACACCTTTTCGTCCTACTAGGATTCAAACTCCTAAAAATAAGATAGAATTTTGATAGGATTCAAACTCCTTAAAATAGGATAGAGTTCTACTATGATTTAAACTCCTAAAGATAGGATCCACAAGCACTATAAATAGCCATTGTAACTCACTATTGTAAGAGAGGATTTACAGACAAAATACAGAGGAAAACACGGAAAATACAAAGGCAAAGCTATTGTAAATGATTCGAAAATGAAATAAAAGGTAGTATTTTTTTTGATTCGTTCATTTCTCGCATGTGCACGTTATTTTTTTTTTGAGATTTGGTTCGAATAACCCAAAACGTGAGTTGCGCTGATGACAAAAAATGGGTGGGGTTTCTAAGTTTCGAACCTAGATCTACCCCGAGGCGTATTCATTTTTTTATCCCCTAATGCGTAATATCAACGTTAATTGTCTTTCAAATTTGGCCCAAATCTTTATTTTTCTTTATATTAGTCCTTTTATTTATTGTATAGATATTTTTATTTATTTATTATTTACATTATTGTCATTATATAAATATATATACGTATGTTCTTTTAAATGATTTTCAATTGATTTTTTTACACTATATATTATTATTATCTATACATATATTTTTTATTTATTTATATTCATTTGGTTATTTTTTAATACTATATTTATTATTTATATATATATATATATATACTTTTTTTAAAAAATATTTTACTTATAAACGTATTATTACTATATATATGTATATATATTGTAATTATCTTTATTTAGTTTTTTTTACTTTATCATTATACATATATATATATATATATATATGTTTTAAATAGTTTATTTATAAGCCAATTATCATTATATATATACTTTTATATTTGGTTTATATATTTATTTATTTTTGGTTTTGGTTTTTTTATTATATTATATTTTCATATTATTATTATTGTTATGATTATTATTTTTCTATTTTACTCATTATATATATATATATATTAATATTTTATTTATTTATTTATTTATTTATTTTTCCTTTTATTTTTTTACTTATTTTTATTCTTCATTTATTCATTTTTTCCCTCTGACACATCTTATGACTTTTAAGGGTATTTTTGTCAATTAATCAGAGGTAAGTAATTCATTATCAAATTTTACCTTTTAATTTAAAATTACAATTTTCTTAATTAAGACAACGGGAAATTACGTAGTACCGAAAGGGCGGTTCAAGGGTGCTAATCCTTCCTTGACCGTAATCGACTCCCGGATCCGACATATCACTGGTAAGACGCAGATCAGGTAAGAAATAAGGTATCCGATCAACCCACTTTTCATAAAGTAAATGATCGGTGGCAACTCCCAATCCATTTTTCACGTCGAAGCCCAATCCCGGGGCCCAACCGAAATACGGTTGCGACAGCTTGGCGACTCCGCTGGGGACACAAGTAAGTGAGTCAGGCTAAGGTAATTTCCAGTTGTCTTTTTAATGAAAAGGGTAAGTTTAAATTTTAAGGTAACATTTCGATTCTTATTACTTACTTTTGATTATATTTTCGAGTAAATAGTTGTACTGACCGTTTTTTTTATGATTTCAGCCCTTAAAGATTTTTCATCCAAAGGCTCTATATCCGAGCTCCGAACCCGTTTTAAGTGGGGGTGAAAGCGACGCCTTCGTGTGAATTTATTCATCGTATGGGCCTAGCAAGTAACCTTCGGGATTCATATACCTTATGCCTTCGTGTGAATTTATTCTCCGTATGGGCATAAGGGAATGTTTCCTCTCGAGTTTAACTTAGTCCACAAAAGCCTGTGATGGGTTTAGGACTAAGGGTCTGGTAAGCCTAAGGGGGCACCGGCAAGGAGAATTCGAGTACCTTTTTTTAGAACCTAAACCCGAAGACTACAAGGAGTTAAGGCCTACCCCAAAACCTCGTTTTAAACCCTAGGATACTGAAATTATTTTCTACTTTACTTTCTGTTCAAAACATGTGAACTAGAAATTTATGCGGTTAGGACTTGTTCAAAATCAACTTGCGGGATAGAGATCATGTCCGGGTAGGAATAATAAACATGTGAGATAGATATCATGTGGGGTAGGACTTTTATTTTCATGATTGCTTTGATTATTATCTTTACCTTACTAACTCTTTTCATTTTTTTCCTCTCTTTTATTTTATTTCCATCATCTGCATCATTCAAAAGAGGTGTTGATCCATCAAAAAACGTGTTCGTTAACCATAAATAATCTGCATTAATGGACAAAGGTGTTGTAATACAGGAGATTAAAAACCCCGAGGTACGACTATGGTCCGAGAAGACTCAGAAAGAAAAGGGAGACAGTCTTCAAGGAAGTTTTGTGTCAGAGCTTGTTAGCTATGCCTCTATCAGCGTAAAACAAAACAATGTGCAAGAACTTCGAGACATCTGGGACAATTAAGGACAGTTGGAAGAATGATCGAAAATAGAAGTTCAGTCAGCGGTATGGTGACATTGCATTTTTGCTTCATGTTAAGATCGGTGAGCCCTTAATCAGAGCCTTGGTTCAATTCTGGAACCCGTGATACAGTTGCTTCACTTTTAACCAAGAGGACATGGTACCTACTATCGAGGAGTATACTACACTATTGCACTGTGAAAGCATTAAACTGGAGCGATCCTACATCAAACACATCAAGAGTCAGCCTTTCAAGAACAGACTGGCTAAGATTGCAGGAGTTGATGAAAAGTGGGTGACTGACCGACTCCGAAACAAAGGTAACGGGCAAGGAATTCAGTGGATCCACATAAGGAAACTAATAAATGACCACCCTGATGAATGGAAGACTATAGACCTTTTTTGCACTATGTCTGTATGGCTTGATCATCTTTCCGAAGATTTTGGGATGCATTGACTTAGCCGTGGTGGAACTGTTTGAGCAACTTCCGAAACGAGTCAACCCAGCACCAACCATCTTAGTCGAGACCTTTCGGTCTCTCAACCATTGCCGAAGAGCTGGAGGAGGTAGATTCATTAGATGTGTTCAGCTCCTTCAAGTCTGGATTCATAACCACTTCTGGAAGACTAATTGGGTTGCCTACCGCCAATTTAGCACTACGTATTCACCTTTGAGAGAGTTCATCACCATGAAATGGCATGAAGGAAATTCAAAAGAGAAGTGGATTAAAGTCTTCACTCATCTATCAAGACTGAGATATTACTTGGAGAGCCCCCTGGTTGTTTCTCAGTGACGTTCTTTTCCAATATGGGGACTCTGACACTATGACCTTACCTGAACTTTGGGATGCAGTTGGGTATGCTCCATTGTTAGCACTTAGACATTATGGGGCACGTCAGTTTGTCCCAGCAACATGCGGACTAGCTAAATCAGAGTTTGAGTATCACGGTGACAACTATAAGAAGATGATCAAGGAAGCAGTCGATTCATGGAAGAAAGTATTCCGGATGGATGTGGTAGCTGCCAGAAACATGCTTGCTTCGGACTATGTGGAGTGGCGAAAATTGAGGAAAAATGACAATATTTCGGTGCCAGACTGTGAGGACACCCGGACTATGGAGGAACATCTCAGGCCCGTCTCTTCTGGACTTGAGATAGCCAAAACAGAGTTTGAAGCTGTGAACAATGAGCTGCGAAGAGGATAAAGGAACTTAAGGCTGAGCGCTATCAGTGGAATCTAGATGCCGACTCTCAGAAAGATCGAGTAGATAAACTAGAATGAGAACAAAAAAGAGTCCGTTTAGAGCTCGAAGACTTGAGAAAGGGGTATCAAGATAAAGTCAAGAATAACTCCAAGTTAAAAGTGGCTTCTAAATATTGGAATGAGAGAGCTTGGAAGGAACAGATGAAGACTGCCTAGAGGCACTTAGCAGGCAGTCAGCATCAAAACCAATGCTTGAGAATTCGGATGGCTGATCTGGAGAAACAACATGAGAGAGATGGCAAAACAATAGTTGAGTTAGAAGCTATTGTAGATGGGTTTAAGAAACAAGCAAGTAAGCTTCAGATAGTGCCCTTCGACGGATGTTTACAGTGGCATTTCCGTTGGGAGCAAGCACAAAAAAGGGTGAAGGCCAGAGACGCAGTCATCCGAGACTTCCTGGATCAAGTACAGAAGGTAGCTCGCCATCTACACGGCCTGGAAAGGGAAGCTGGAGTGGTCCAACAAGGCATACAACCAGTGACAAATGAAAACAGAAGATTTGTCAACCTGCTGGAAGCTGTTCGGGGTCTAGAGGATTTAGTCTGAATGTACCTTTGATTGTTTTTATGTCTCTTACAAGATAAAACATTTTTGTCGAAATAAGGATTATTTATAATAATGGACACTTTTCTGGATCAATGCCTCGAACATTTCATGCATTTTTTTTCATTTTACGTTGTGCATCTATATTTCATTTTTAAGCATTTTCATAAACATGAAATTTCTTCATGGAGGATTCGATGAAGTGGTTTTAACCACATGACACCACATGGAAGCAAGATTGTAACATCAAAAGAAAAAAACTGAAAACAATACAGTGGGAGCCTGATCAGCTGATTGTAGGACAAAGCCTGCCAGGATGATCTAAGAAAGAATCCCTATATCCTAAGGACTACAATGTTGAAGCTGTTAGGTGTTACCACATAAGAAGCCCCAAATATTCCTCTGAGAACTATAAGGCGCTGAAGCGCAAGATCCAAAACCTGATGGATTCAGGGGCATAAACGACCGAAGAAGGGGGCATGGCGGCATATACCATTTGCACTTAGAGGATTGTTTTGTTTAAACACGT